AAAAATTATGATCCAACACGTCATAGCTATAAAGTGATCAGATAACTTTATGAGAGAAGCAGCGTGCTCTCTGCCTCTTATGGGAATCACTGCGCGCAATTAGGTGAGTGGATGCCTGCAAATCATTACTGTTCAAAGGGAGACGCGACTAATAAAAAAACAAGCGCACAAGCAACCCATCTGTTCAAAGGACGATTTAAACCCCAGGCATCAAAAAATATGTATTAAACATTTCTGTTGGAAAATACGAAAGCTGCTAGTTTATTTCCAGGTTATAAAACTATCTTAAAATATTTTTTACAGGTATTTATAGTCTTTAGGAGATCAATCTTCAGACCAGTTTCCCTAATACCAAATGCGTTTTTCTTTTTCACTACGGGTTATATTGTTTTGGCATTGGTTATTTTATGGGGATTATAATTGTGCCTTTATATTTGTTGAAGTAGCTGTTATGATAATACTATTACAGGGGAACTGTTTTGTCCTTTTCCTTAAATGTATGCATGTTTTTTAGATTATATCCCACCGAAAAAAAGCGTAAGTGTTCAATTCTCTCGTTTTTTAAATATCCTTGTTGGTTTTATCCATTTATTTTTCGCATATCAAATACTTTCCTTTTACAATTAGAGGCCGATTTCTTCTCAAAATAATGTAACATGCAATTTGAAATCTGCCTTTTGCGTGACCACTTTAAAAAATATCCTATCATCATTCTTACTTTAAAAAGCAGCACAGTGACATGCAAACGCACACACACAAAAAAGGGAGTTGAACGAGGGAGTAAACATACCTGTAGCTGGAAATAGAGTACCAGAAAATGTAAACACCTATGTGGAGAGAGGGAGAGAAAAGGGAGGAGGGGAGTGAATCACACAGGCAATTACATGAAGAATAAACGCAGCCTACCTGGATTAAAGCAATGCGCAAATATGAAGCTTTTAGCGACTTCTATTGGTAAGAATGCATGATTTTATGTGAGAAAGGCACGCGGAGAAGTGGAACACTTACAGGTATATGAACCTCGAAGGCAGCACAGACATCTTGACTCGCAGAAATACACCTGAAATACACCTGCTTCCACAGATTTGGAAAGGTTGGCGAAATCGCCCCCCTCTCTCTTGCTTTCGCTCCCTGGCGCGTCCTTTACGCACACAACTCCGGGGGTAAGTAGGAGATTGAATCCCAGTGTAAGGATATATCACTGGAGAGCAGCAGCAACAGAGTCACGGAGTGCAACATTAGGTGTTTCCTTGTTGGGGTGAATTATCCAGTTTTTTTCTCAGCCCGGCTCCCCGAAATCCCGGAACGTCTCCGTAAATCGGTGCCAAGCGTGGAAATGATTCACAAGTCAACCTCTCCAAAAATCCCCTTCGCTCATAAAAAAATATCCTTCGAGTTTTGCGCACCTATAGCCAAGTTTCCCCACCATCCAAATCCTACTCCAGAAATCACAGGCTCCTCAACTCCGTCCGTACCTGCGGGGGCTTTCTACACCTTGCGTGTGTCATTTTATTCTACCAAGTGCTACGCTGGAAAAAAAGTTAAAGTGGTGATAATAAAACGCCCTTCCACCACTCGCTAAAAGTGGGCAAACAAACTTATCCAGGCATAACAAAGTTATGTTTTTCAAAAAGAAAAGCAGAGTGGAAATCGCAGTCCCTGGAGAGGTTTGGGGGCTGGTGGTGGCGCAGCAGTGCCTGTCAGTGGTGTTTGTGCGTCTGCGGCTTGAGATTTGGGCACAGAGAGGTTTTTTTGTTGTTGGTGGGAGGAAACATGTCAGCGGTTTGCACCTGATAGGGTAATCCTGGAGAGACCATCAGCCTGGAGAGGGTTTTTTCCTCTCGGTGGGCAAAGCGATGCGCAGAGGAGAACAAGAGCAAGAAGATAAAGTGCTCTTTGGTTTGCATTTAGATTTTTAAAATTAATAAAATGTTTTTCCTTTAGTCAGGTTGGATTTTTTTGTTGTTGTGTTCGGCTATGGACAAAGACCACCTGATAAGAGATGGCGTTTGGCGATATCCACTTTCTTTTCTAAATTATATAAGTTTCATTTTCATTTTTGCGTCAAACCATATTTTCAGGTTGTATTATGTTAACCCCTTTATGACTTACATAATAATAAATATCAACAGGTATCGTACTTTTCGTCATTACATTGTCATGGTGGGTGTAGAATAAACAGCGGCTGCGTGTAACCACCACAGAAACTGCTCGTCACAGTCGGGTTTTTAAAGCTACTGCTGGTTTGTGGATTGGCCTCGGCTCCTCCAGACAGCATTCAAATGCAGGTTGTTGTCGACCTCGATTTTTTCAATAATGTGCTATAACTTATCCCGCATTTAAATGAAAGAGAGGTGTGAATCTGTTTACGAGCTGGCAGCAGTAAAGCGAGCCCACATCCCTGCTGCCATCAAAAAAACAGAAAAACCTTTGTGGTTCGCCTTTATTGTCCCATTAAAACTGGATCCTCGGCATTCCTCTCCCATTGATATTCAAAATGAATCTAAATGATTACATACAAAACTTCCCATGTTGGGGATTTCAAAGGGCCTCCTGCAGTGAGTTTAGTGGGGACTGAAAGGAGTGTTTAACTAAGAGCTCCAGCTGCTGATCAGCATAAGGCAAACACACAAACAAAATCAATTATTTATCGGGAAAAATATAAATGCATGGATTTTATTTATCTAAGTGTTTATGATTTATAACGACAAGTTGAGTCATGTGTGTTTTGTGCATGTTGTAAAGAGGATAAAGTGGGTTCATGTGGTGTTTACCCTGTGATTCATGGCTGTCTGCCTAACAAGAAGGCTTGATCCTGACAACCGCAGTGCACTTTAATAATCCCTGTCACACAACTGGGGTAGAATGTCAATTTAAAGCATGACTAATTTAGCCTTGTCCGCCTCAAGGGAGGGGAAATCACAGCACATATTGGGCAAATAGTAATTATCGAGGAAGATAATTTAATGATTTCTTCACAAATACGAGGCATTGGTTCCGTTTGATCAAGTAAGGCTTAGAGTTCAAAACAAAAGCACCTGACAACTGATTTAAAGAAGGCAGGATGATAAACAGCAATTACCGCGCCGACTGTGATAGAGCCAGCATCGCGGGGTCACTCATCGCCTCTTAAGCACATGTTTGTGACAAACTTCTCGGAGCATGACTGTAAATCCACAACTGAGGAGAGAGCGCTGTAGCGAGCTTGATGTGGCCACCTGTGACTCACAAGGAGGCGGAAATGTGTCTCTGCTCATGGCAAAAAGGGAAGATACACTTTTTTTTTAAAAGAGGACTTTTATCATGAGTCACAAGAAAAGGGAAATAAATAATTTATGGCTGCAGGCCAAATGTTGGATGTGTCAGCTATGCACTTGTCTGGACAACCAGTTACATTGGCAGCTGGCCAATCAGGAGTCAGAAGGAAAGATTTATTTTAGAAATGTAAACTTATTTATGGCACAAAAGAAAGCCCACTGGACCAAAAGAAAACTCTTTTCATACATGAAATCTGACTGACAAAAGGGATTTAAAAGGACCTAAATGGAAGAACTCCATCGGCTTTGTCTTGCACTGTCCCCTCTGAGAACCTGATTGTTTACATTGTTTATCCATATCACTGTTTAGTTTTTAAGCTGTTGGAAGGTTTGGCACCAAATTCACATCCAGTACAACCATCATTTGGAGAAGAGAAGCCTCAGACAAGGTGTCAACAAAACATTTTATCTGTAGGACGCTTTGCGGAGTTAGGGTTGGTTCAGACCATTTCAAAATATCGGTTTTATTTGTCTTTTTTTAAACCAAACGATAAAAGTATTTTAAGTAGTTGATTTTGGATTATTCAAAGTAAGTGGGAATATGAATTTGCTGAGGATTCAAAAGATATATATATTCAGTCGATGCTTTGAATACAAAAAAGTAAATTCCAAATGTCACAAAAACCCAACTCAAATGTTACCGCATGGCAAGAAACTTGGAAAAAACTGACCCTTTAAAATGGAAGAGAGTTCAGATGTGGATTGAAAACTACATTTTCACACCATCACTCCAAAAAAGTTGGTGCTCCCGACAAATTGCAAATTGCCCGCTGACACTATATGAAGAAGAAAAAAAGATAAAACAGCGAGAATCAATCAAAAGCAGTATGCTGCTGGTCGAGCATGACAAGAGTGAGCTTTATGAATGGGGTGAGCTGTTTCTCAGTCCAGTTTCTGAGGCACGGAGGAGGGGAGGGGGGGGGGGGGGGGAAGCCACTCAAGAGTTGGGATAAGGTTACCCACAGAGATTAGCTGACAAGAGTGAGGGAGTGAGAAAAACAAGCAAGCAAGTTAAAGGTCTTAGTTTACCTGCCTTGCTGTGCTTGGCAGCCAATCAAAGTGCTTTGAAACCACAGATTCTGCCTGAGATGTTCCTCAGCGGCCACATTTGCCAATTCTGTTCAAATTTCATGAATACAAATTTAGAGCTACAAAGTGGCGAATGATGTTATTTCGACGACTCCCAGACTCCTTTCAAGTCTTTGAATTTGAACCTCGCCTGCGTCCCCGAGCAGCAATGCGTGTCTGTCCGCAGCGACGGGACTGTGGGAATGTCACCGAGGATATCTCATTGAAGCTAGAGGAGGAGGCATCTGAAGGCGGGCGAGCGCTCAGCGGTTCAAAGGGCCCTAGCAGGCATTTAGGGCTCCACAAAAGAACTTGGCAGATCAGTAAGTGAAGCCCAATGTACTACATTAGTGTCAGGACCCCCTCCGCGTCCCTCCCACTTTGCACTTTCATCTCTGACACGGACATATTGACTTAAAGGAAAGGAGGGGTGCCAGGGCCCGCCGAGGAGGGGTGGGTAGTTGCGGTGGGTGTCAGGGGGGGGGTATATGTGTCCCATTCAAATATCAAGGTGAGGCGATTGATGCCCAGGGGTGACCACTGACTCATATAAGCCACCCAGAAGCCTTTTTCTTTAACTAGAAGTCACAGGCCGACAAGCGTGTGAGACCCAAACGGGACGGCCCTCTTCCTCTCATCTCACTGAAATCAGCCTCACCCCATTAGTGTATGCTGACCCCACCCCAACCCCCCTCTCCAAACACACACCCACTTCCCTTTTCACACTGTGGGTGATGCCCTTCCGCGGGGCTACTGAAGTCCAACGGTTAACGTGGGTTTGGGTCGTGACGGGGTCGCGACACCTTGACATTGCGGAGGGTGACAGAGAGAGGAGCCAGAGGAGGGGCGGGGGGGGGAAGCTATTGCCTGCTACCTCGGAGACCTTTCAAGTCTTACCTAAAGGAGAGGGAGGAGGAAAAAAAAAAAAAAGCGGGAAGTCTTTTAGTAATTTGTCCCCCGTCACACGTTGTTTGCATGGAGTCATTAAGGGCCATTTAGGTTCTGCCTTGAAGGGAAGAGGCCAGAGAATTTGGGTGCGGGTGCTCTTTGGGAGAGAGGCCGTGGGAGTGAAGGGTGAAAATGAAAGCGTTGCTCTTCAACAAATCATCTCTGTAAGCACCGCGTACATGCAGAACATATTACTGTTTCCATTGACTTGGGTCGCCTGTTTGACATTAATGATGATTTGCTCCATGTCGTCCAGCGGGGAGTTGAAAGTTGTTGCTCTCTTGTTGCTAGTTGCTAACACGTGAAACAACTTTATGTGACTACACGAGTTTTGAAGACATCACTAAACTATTCTCGCTTGGATGAGATCTTTGGCCATTGTTCAGTACAGAGTAACTGCCAAGATGTGTCACAGTGCTACAATTGAATAACAATCAGCCGACAGACCCCGTGTGCTTTAGGATTTTGGCCTGTGGTTGACAGATAAATGTCAAATCTCCTGGATGAGCAGAGGTAACCGAAAAGTCTTGTTTCGCTTCTCGGACTTGTGCCTTAATGACATAATAAGCCTTCAGAGCCGGGTGGACTGGTGGTGAAAGTTTGGGAAGTCAAATGATGTAAGTGTTCTTTGTCAGCTTTTTTCCTCCCTGAATTGAACGACCCCATAATTGTTTTTCTAGGACTGCCATAATTACCAAATTAAGGGGCTGGTTGTTTTGTAACGTGGCATAAAATAGCTTTGAGACTCACAAACTGGCCAAAGCTTTTGACTCATTCACACGAAATGAGGAGGGAAGTAACTAAGTAAATGTACTCAATTACTTTACTTGAGTAATTCCCTTTTATGCTACTTTATACTTCTACTCTACATTCATAGGCAATTATAGTACTTTTTACTTCACTACAAACATTTAACACTCATAGGTACTTTAAACATATACATTTAGCTAATACTATGTATGTACTTCTACGAAAGTACAATTTTGCATTCAGGACTTTTACTAAAGTGAAGGATCTGAGTACTTCTTCCACCTCTGGTTATCATTAAAACAGTAATTAAAAACACTTAACTGCCCTGCTGTGTTTTAAATGCATCTTCCTGCCTTGATGAATGGCAGTTTATAGATCTCATTAATGACACAAAGGCCCACCGTAAATCAGAAATCAGCTTTGAAAAGGTGACACGTTAGAATCAAAAGGATGTTGAAGCCCACCAAGAGTGTGACCCGGACTCACCCACATGATTTGGTGAGGACTTTGATTTTAAGTCATTACCTTCATGTTAGGGGTGAGAAGTACTAAGTGAGTGTTCAAAGGCGAAACCTGTCAGGCTAATGTTTATCTGATTACTGTGTGTCTGAGAAGCACTTCCTC